GCAAGTTTTGTGTAGGTATGTATGGCTCATTGCTTCCACCACAATAGTGAGAGCAACGATGGTTGGTGTGTGGAATCTTAGAGCAACACTGATCTTGAAGCATCAGAGCCGCTGAGTAGAGTCAAGAATGCAGCGTAGCAACCAGGGGCATTGTGGCTTTAAGCCATAGGAAGAATTTTGAGCAGCTTGCTGTTCCAGGGATCTAGCTGGATTCTTGACTCCTCATTGGACTACAACCTACAATCGCTACAAACTACAATTAATACTTCCAGCTAGATTCCTATACTTGTAGTTGAGAGGTGGTATAGATTGACAGTAAGGACACTGGATCAAAACTGTCTGGGTTCAAACCCACCACTAACTAACTCTTACTGATTGTGTGACTTTGGAAAGTTTCCTTCAACTGCAAAGTTGGAGAAAAAAAAAGAGAATTTGTTGTGAGAATTAAGTGATTTAACATACACAAGAGCCACTTCAAAGTGTGACTGGCACGGAGTAAGCTAAGGTTATTGAGCTCAGCATACATCATATCTTTGGACCTGTGACCATATGTTAATCAACTGATTTTAAATTAAAACAGAGATCAGTGATTGGAGATGGGAGGGCAGAAAAAATAAAAGGAGATAGACTTTCCTGCAGTGCCACTTTGCAAAAATACTTCTGGAGTGTTGCCAGTAAGATGGTGAGAATCTGCCCCTCATTTGCTCCCTGTGGCTTGTGAACGATCTTAACACACTGAGTGGAAATTTTATCCATATATGTTCACATATCCTTTTAATTAGACCCATGGGGTGCAGGTCAAGGCTCTTTGACCTGGGGTGGCAAATTTTTCTTCATTTTTGTGCAACAAGATAGTATGTTATGACAGAATGCTACCCATGTCCAACCCACTCTGCAACCGAAGAAGCACCTGCCTTTAAGAGCTGTGCAAGTACGAAGTTCTACTCCATCATTTCCAAACAATCCATTCCCTAAAGGAAAAAGAAAAGCATGGAAAAGAAAAATAAGGCTTTATGGGGCTAGGAGAAATCCTAGACCTGTCTTCTCTTCCTGGTGGGTGGCTTATTTTTTTGTGATTTACCTTCTGCATCCTGTCCTCTCACTTCCTATCATATGTCAATTAGAGCCGCCATATCTAAGGCTAATCAGAGGAAGTTAAGAGGAATAGGGATTTGGATAGCTGAACAGTGATGTATACGTCATGAGGTCAGCTCCTCTCTATCAAGCTTGGGTAGAACTTCAGGATGTGGCAACTGATGAACAGGGTAGGGTCTGATGACCATTAACTCACATCCCATACCTAGCCTGCTGGTCCATCTGATATTGGTGTTCCCCCTGCTGGTCTTATGCCTATAAGGGATTTTAAATGGCTGTGTCCAAGGAACACCCCCACTTTCATGATCAGACCTACATGCACCATCTTACCTGAAGGCAGTGAGATCAACAGGAGGAAGAGCAACCCAGAAAGAGAGAGCCTCATCATGAAGAGGACATAGAGCTGGAACTTCCTGGGGGTGGCTCCCTGGGAACTTCCTTTATAGAACTGGACAAGGCTGGGTGGGGCTGGACACTGACCTCATTCTACTTGGAAGTGCCCCCAGGGGAGACAGGCTTCTTCAGGGCTAGAGGAAGAAGACTCCCTGGTTCTGTCTCTGCTACTTCCTCTTCTACAAATCCTGGAAAAGAAGGAACTCAGTCAAGACCAAACAGGTGCAGAGATCAGGCACCTTCATGCCCAGGCCCAAATATTTACCCTGTAACTCCACATGTATAATAGAAAAATGGCAGGAAAAGTGTCTACTTTCTTTCTACTTTGTTTTGCCTTTCCTTCGGAGTCCCACCAAGAACACAGGAGATCAGAGAAGTGATGTTATAAGCACAGGCTTAAGACCAGGAAGGATATGAACAAGAACTTGCTGTGTTTCAAGGAACAAAGGGTCTCAGGGTGTCAACTCTTGGTCTGCCCAAGGGTTAAGTAGTTGCTCAGACATAGCAGAGAAGGGGTAGTCTTCTCTTTGGGCAGCAGATTTTTTTTTCATTTGGCTAGAGACAGATGACAGGGAATCTGTCACCCAGAAAAATTCACTGAGGGGCTTAATTTTCCAAATGACTAGTATGAAAGGTTGCCTAGTATTTGGGAACTTCGAGGTTTCTGCAAAAAGGTACTCTTTGGGTGGGTTGGAACTCTCTTCTGGTCTCTCACAGGAAGAGTCAGATCAGTGCTGTGTTCAAGGTTGGATGCTCAGTGTTCAGTGTAGAGCAGGACACCACTTCCCTGGAGCTATAGGGACAGAGCTCTGGGGAAGGGTCATTAGGTCTGTCTTCCCTGGAGTGGTGGTAGAGGTCCAAATGTTGAGGAGATGCTAACTTTGGTTATATTCTTGCCCTTTAAGGCAGGCCTGTACCCATGACCGTAGGCTTCTGAGTCTGTAAAGGAGCAGTAGAGCATAATTTTGTTCGTTATGCTTCATTTTGCAGTCACATGCTCTTAGATAAATTATTTAGCATCTCTGATCTTCAGCTTCCTCTTCTTAAAAAGTGCATTGTAAAAGGGTTTTCTGAGGATGACAAACTACAAAGTGCATTGCACTCATTCTGGTAGAAATTAGGTTATTCATTTCCTTCTCTTCCTTCTCCCCCTCCCCTTCCACCACTTTTTCCTCCTTCTTATTTTCCTCCTCCTTCTTCTTCATTATTAAATTCCACCATTATAGATTCTTTCTTTTTCTTTCTTTCTTTCTTTCTTTCTTTCTTTCTTTTCTTTCTTTCTTCTTTTTTTCTTTCTTTCTTTCTTTTCTTCTTTCTTCTTTCTTTCTTTTTCTTTCTTTCTTTCTTTCTTTCTTTCTTTCTTTCTTTCTTTCTTTCTTTCCTTTCTTTCTTTCTTTCCTTTCTTTCTTTCCCATTCTCTCCAAGAGATCTCTTAGTGAATACAAAAAATAGCTGTGAAAGTTTTATTCTGGATTCCAACAATATGTATTGTTGAGACTATCACTGTGGATTGGCATGGGAGTGGGGAAGAGGAGTTATGCTAGTGGACTGGAAGTAAGTAGTTCAATGCTAGCTCAGGGCTGACGATTCCCTTGCATGATTTCATGGAAGCCTCCCAGGAGACTCTGCATGGGACATACAATTCCTGCTCATAGAATGCAGGCCATATCCTGACCATCTGCGGCCAAGACACAGCACAGACTTCTTATTCTTTTGGAGATGGAGGAAACAAGGCTTGAATGGATGAATGGGCTTGCAAGGAAAGAAGCTGTGAGCTGTGCCAGCTCTTTTGATTCACAGTTCAGAACTCTGTCCTTCTCTATGTATTTAAAGTTAATCAATTGTGTATTTGGGAATTGAACCTAACACTTTCTAAATCCTTCTGAATCCCTTCTATACCCGTTTCTGGAAAAGCAAATTTAAAATGCATTTGGAGATTAGCATGTGTGCAGGATGGACCCTTTCCTTTCCATCTGTGGATGATTAAATCACCATCTCAACCTTCAGGCAGGAACTTTTCCTAATTGTGCTGGGTGTTCACACCTGCTACCTGAGGTCTTGTTGGGAAAAAGTGCCAGGGAAACACAGCTGTATTCTCTCCCCTTTAATGTTGCCGCGTTGGTGCTTTCTTCCTTTTCTAGTCTAGAATTTTTGTGCTCTCTGCAACATGTCTACCTTCAAGAAAAACAAGACAAAACAAAAACCACAATGACTACATATCCTATGCTACATTAATAAATTAACTTGTGGAAGGAGCAAGCCCTCTTCTCAGCTGCTTCATTTACTAGTCACATATTTCCTGAGTGCAATGACTTCACCACTTGTTTTTCTCTACTTGCAAGTTGATTTTCACCCATGGCTCTTATTTTTAAAATTCAAAAATAAATCACTTTTAAATGTGAAATTTAATACACATAAAGAAAAATAGGCAAATCATATACAGAACTTAGTGACTGAATATATAGCAAACACTATTTAACCACCACTTAGATCAAGATAATCATCACTTTCTTGCTTTGCTTTATGGTTTTCCCTTCAGTATGTATCACTGGTGTGGTGTTTATTTTTTTTTTTAAAGATTTTATCTATTCATTTGAGAGAGAGAGAGCAAACAGCACGAGTGGGGGGAGAGGTGGCAAGGAGGGGAGGGAGAGGGAGAAGGAGACTTCAAGCTGAGCAGGGAGCCCAATGTGGGGCTTGATCCCAGGACTCCAAGATCATGACCCCAAATAGGATAGTTTAATTTGCCTCTTTTGACCTATCTGTAAATGGAAGCACAAAAGTATTATTTGTGGCTGACTTCCTTCTTATGTTTTAAAGATTTGTCTGTGTTTCTGTGTGCAGCGTTAGTTTTTACCTCAGTATATGGACTGCTTAGTATATTTATGACTGCTGACAAGCATTTGAGTTGTTTCCATCTATTATAAAGAGTGCTACTGTGGGCATTCTTGTTACTTCTATTCTGTGCACACAGGCTTGCTTTTTGGAGGATAGCTACCCTGGTGTGAAATTGCTAAGTCACAGGGCATGCATAACATCAGTTTGTTCTAAAAGTCAAATTGTTTACTAAAATGCTTTTTACTAATTTGTATATCCATCAACAATGGAGGATTTTTAATTACTCCATGTTCTTAGTATTACTTCGCACTTTAGACAACTTGAGAGCTATCTCGTGGTCCCTCATGGCGAATTAATTAAATTTTCCTGATAACAACTAAGGTAGGGTATCTTTTCACATGTTTATTGCTCATTTGGATTCTCTCTCTCTCTCTCTCTCTCTCTCTCTCTCTCTTTAAAGACTTTATTTGTTTATGAGAGACACAGAAAGAGGCAGAGAGACATAGGCAGAGGGAGAAGCAGACTCTATCCCCAGACTGGTATCACGCCCTGAGTTGAAGGCAGATGCTCAACTGCTGAGCCACCCAGGCGTCCCTGGATTCTCTTTAAAGAAGTGTCTAGTTAAGTCATTTGTCCATTTTTTCTATTGATTTATCCATTAAGAATAATTTGTACTGTGAATATTCTTGCTAATCTGATTTTGTAATACTCAAGGCAGGCTAAACATTCACTATATTAAGACCATGCATGTGTCCCCAGACCTAGTTCTTTCCCTAGGTCTAGTTTTTATAAATGTTGGTGATAAACCAAATCCGACTTATATGGGAAATGTCTGTGATTCTAGGTATTTGCTCATCCTCAAGAAATGATGGCACAGTTAGTGTAATAACTTTTGAAGATAGCCATTGCTAACTTGATGATTACCAGCTGCCATTGAATGAATTGTAGAACTATTGTGTTTTATTCACTAAAAGAAGAATTTGTAAATTATGGGGTGATCCAAGATGGCACTGTAGAAAGTCCCTGAACTTACCTCTTCCTATGTACATGCCAAATCTACAACTACCTGTAGAATAATTCCTGCTGAAAAAGAACTGAAAACTAGCTGAACAGCTTCCTCCACAAGGGACAAAATGACCACATCTAGATTGGGTAGAAGAGGCAGAAACATGGTCTCACTGGCTCTGTGTCACAGAATAGGGATGGACCTCACTCCTAAAGCCTCTCCCCAAGGAGTGAGGGATTTGTGCCCTACATTGGGCACCCTGACCCTTGAGACTCGCACCAAAGGGACCATACCCCCAGAATGTCTGGCTTTGAAAACCAATAGGGCACTTGATGGGATGAGCACTGGGTGTTAAACTACATGTTGGCAAATCGAACTCCAATTAAAGAAAAAAAAAAAAAAGAAAGAAAACCAATGGGACTTACAACCAGAGAGCCTGGGTGACTATGGGATCTGAGACATTATTTTTGAGAAGCTAGTGCATGGACTCACTTGTCCTAGGAACCAGTGCATAGGCAGCTGTTTAAGAGGTGACTGGATTTTATGTGACAGTAATTCAGTTGGTCATATTAAAGAGTGCTGGAGGGGCAGGGATTTGTTGGGATTTTTCTTGGGATTGAAGTGCTGAGGTGTGCCCTTATTTTGTGCTCTTCCTTGCCCCATCCTTCATGCTCATTCATTCACTTGTAACTTCTTTTCCTCCATTTCTAATTTTATTTCAGTCTTTTCTCTTTTTCTCCAGATGAGTCTGGCTAAAGCTTTAGCTATTCTGTTTGTCCTTTCGAAGTACCAGTTCTTACTTTTAGTGATCTTTTCTTTTGTTTTTTTTTGTTTTTGTTTTTGTTTTGTTTTTAGTTTCAATTCATTGAAACTCTGATCTTTATTATTTCCTTCTACTATCTTTGAGCTTTGTTCTTTTTTTTAGTTCTTTTAGGTGTAAGGTTAGATTGTTCATTCGAAATTTTTCTTGTTTCTTGAGTTAAACCTGAATTACTATAAATTCCCTCTTAGAACTGCTTTTGCTGCATTCCAATGATTTTGAATTGTTGTGTTTCCATTTTCCTTTGTACTGTGTATTTTTTTGATTTCCTCTTAGATTTCTTTATTGACTTTTGTTGTTTAGTAGCATGGTGCTTAGTCTTCACATTTTGGTAGTTTTTTTTCTAGTTTTTTTTTTTTTTTTTCCTTGGAGTTCATTTCTAGTTTTACACTGTTGTGGTCAGAAAAGATACTTGAGGGGTGCCTTGCTGGCTCAGTTGTTAAAGCATGTAACTCTTGATCTTAGGATAATGAGTTCAAGCCCCATGTGTGGCAAAATAAGTTATTAAAAACATGTAAGATAAAACTTTCTTAAAAAAAAAAAGAAAGAAAAGGTACTTGATATGATTTCAGTCTTAATCTTATTGAGACTTGTTTTGTGGCCCAACATGTGATGTATCCTAGAGAATGTCCCATGTACACTTGGAAAGAATGTATTCTGAGGTTTTTGGATGGAATGTTCTGTATATATCTGTAAAGTTCATCTTGTCTAATGTGTTGTTCAAAACCATTGTTTCCTTATTGATTTTCTGTCTGGATAATCTATCCATTTATGTAAATGGGGGATTAAAGTTCTCTACTATTATTATATTGCTTTCAAGTTCTTCCTTTGTGTCTGCTAATATTTGCTTTATATATTTAGGTGCTATTGTGTTGGGTGCATAGATATTTACACTTGTTTTACACTCTCTGTTGGACTGATCTCTTTATCATTATGTAATGCCCTTCTTTGTCTCTTGTTACAGTCTGTTTTAAAGTCTATTTTGTCTTATGTAAGTATTGTTACCTCAGATTTCTTTATGTTTCCATTTGCATGAAATATCTTTTTCCATTTCTTCACTTTTAGTCTGTGTGTCTTGAGATCTGAAGTGACTCTCTTGCATGGAGCACATATCTGGGTCTTGCTTTTTTAGCTATTCATCCACCCTATGTCTTTTGATTAGAGTACGTAGTGTATTTATGTTAAAATAATTATTGATAGGTATGTACTTATTGCCATTCTGTTAATTGTTTTCTGATTGTTTTAATAGTTCTCTGTTCCTTTATTCTTCTCTTGCTCTCTTCCTTTGTGATTTTTGACTTTTTTATTGTTATGCTTTATTTTTTTATGTAACTAATATATGTTTTTGGTTTTGGTTACAATGAGGTTCATATGTAATAGTCTATGTACATAGCAGTCAATATTGAATTGATGGTCATTTAAATCTGAACACACTGTAAAAGCACTACTTTTTTACTTCTTCTTCTCCCATGTTTTATGTATGTTATATAATATTTTATATCCCCCAATGGCAGGAGTCTCTCTGGAGAGATGCCAGAGGTGGTGCAGTGGAAGGTGTTTTGGAGGGGAACCTGTTGGAGTGAGTATGTTGGATGGAGCAAGTGATGCTAGCAAGGTAGATGGAAAGTGTCAGAACTGGCTCCTGCAGCTAGATTAAAGAAAGGGCCAGAAAATTTGGCTTCACCAGTACTTTTATTCCCAGAGAAATCTCCTGTAGATCCCTCCCCCTTTTGGCACATGTCCTGAAATTATTCAATGAATCTTCACATATACTCAGGCCCTTTAAAAAATATTGCTTCAGTGCTGGGTATCAGGCTGAATGATACAGCTTGCTGGTCTTTTAAGAGTAGAGATGGTTTCCTATAGTCCTTTGGCCCTACCAGAGTTAAGCCCCACTGACTTTCAAAGGCAGATGTTATGGGGGCTTCTCTTCCTGGTGCACATCCCCAGGACTGGGCCTTCCTGGTGTGAGGCTTGATCCCCCTACTCTTCCATGACTGTGTTATCTCTCCCGATTATAGGTCATTGTGTGGGGAACTGGGTTCCCAACTACATCTCCGCCCTTCCTGCCCTTCTTGATGTGACCTTCTCTCTATGTCTTTAACTCTGCCAGTTGTCAGGTTGTCTTCAGAATGAATTGCATTACATGTAGTTGTTGCCTTGGTGTGTCTGTAGGAGAAGGTGAGCTCAGGATCTTTTTACTTCACCATCATCCTTTTCTCCCTCTTCCTTAAGCAGTTTGAATATATTATTTCACTCTCTTCTGGCTTGCAAAGTTTCTGTGGAGAAATCTGGTGAGATTAATATGGGGGCTCCTGTGTATGACAAGTCTCTTCTCTTCCTGCTTTGAAAATTCTCTATTGTTGACTTTTGACACCATGATTATAATATGTCTTGGTTGAACTTTGGATTCTTCCTTGTTGGGTTCCATTAGGCTTCAATAATCTGGAAATTCATTTCTCTTCCTCAGATTTGAGTTTTTTGAAGTTCTTAACCATATTTCAAATAAATAATCTGCTTCTTTCTTTTCCCGTTCTTCTGAGACTTTAAAAATGCATATATTGTTTGGTTTTATGGTGTCCTATAATACCTTCAGTCTTCTTTCTGTCTTTCTCATTCATTTTTGTATTTGCTTTTCTGATTGAATAATTTCGAATGACCTGTCCTCACATTTGCAGATTCTTTATACTTATTGATCCAGTTTCCTGTTGAACTTCTCTATTGAATTTTTCTATTCAGTTGTGTTCTTCAGGTGTAAAATTTCAGTTTAGTTCTTTTGACATATTTTCTGTATCTTTGATGATATTCTTATTTTGTTGATGGACTGTTTCCTGAACTCATTGTCCATCTTTATGATAGTTTGTATTCTTTGTGAGATGAGTCATATACTTCTGTTTCATTAGGGCTGGTTTCTGGAGATTTATTTCATTTCTTTGATTGAGCCATGTTTCCCTGTTTCTTTATGTAGCTTGTAACTTTGTTTCAGGTCTGCATATTTGAAAAATGACCATCTCTTCTACTATACCTGGACCAGCTTTGCACAGGAAAAGATAATCTCAAATAGCTTTGTGAGAGATTCTTGGGAATCTTGATCCTTTTCTGTAGATACATCTTCTCTTGACCTGCACAGTCAAATTCCCAGTTAAAGGTATTTGCTTGCCTCTTTTTTCAGGAGTTTTAAATTTTTTGGTCCCTGTGGTTTTTATCTGCAGCATTGCAGATTCTCTTGAGCTACCACAAACTGCTCACCCTCCAGGCTTCTAGAGGATGCTAGATCCTATCAACTTTCTGTGTCAGGTAAGACAAAAACAAGTCCCATGGGAAGTTCCTCAAAAAGTCAGAATGTTGGATGCATGCTTCACAATTCTTTCCCCACTGAGGAAGAGGCTACTGAACTGCACTGGACTTCATCTGCTTTACCTTGGGTCTCCTAGAGCAGCATCAAGACTTTTAGCTTTCTTGTTCTTAGTAGCACCTAGATAATCTAGAGTATGTAGGTCCTTTTCAGTGATCTGAGACAAGTGAGACAGTCTAATCCCTGAGGCAGGCCCCTGAAAGATCAGAACATTGGATGCATGCTCCAATTCTTTTTCTTCCCTGGGAGAAATTGGGAGTTGGGAATTTTCTATTACTTATTCAATGCTGAGTTGGGAAGAGAGATTATGATGAATGAGTGCCCCAAATCATTGCCTTTGTTCTCAATGGCCCCTAACCTGGCACCCTTTCCTTTCAATGCTTAGATTCAGACAGAACAGAAACTGGTTCCTTGGGTAGTCCCCCAAAATTTGAACATTGGATGTATGTTTCAGTTTTCTCTTTTCTTTCCCAAGGAGAAGCAGGATCTGGGAGTTTTTCCTTTCTAATTGTGCCATGCTAGACTATGAGAAGGGGCAATGTTGAATGAGTGTTACAAATTTTCCTACCAGGTTTGATGCAGCTATTTTCATGCTCACCTGGGTTGTGTGAGGCTCTTAACTGCTA